CATTCTGCCCTTTGGGTTCTGGCTTCCCATTAGCAGTGACCAGTGCATTCTGCCGCCAGCCTCCCCCAGCGCCCACCCCACCCCAGCCCAGGCCCCAGTCCTGAGTCTAAAGTGAAATTATGTTCAGGCCTCTGATCTGGGACTGCGTGCAAGTCAGGGCAATCGGATGCATCACATTTTCTCATGAAAGAAATATCTGACAGGCTTATTAACCTTTGAAAATACCAGCTCTCACGCCGAAGGACTTCCTGAGTCCAGATCGAACTGAAAAATAACCTTGTGACAGACCACCCGGTTCTGCGCTGACGGGAATTACTTTCAACCCAGGCCAGCATGTCCCTCAGACAAAATGTTCCACATACCGGCCCTGACAGCGGCCAGCTCTCGGGAACAGGGGAGCCAAGTGTCGGCTATTACAGATCGTATCCACGGTGGCTGTGACATGGGGTTGCTCTGGGCCTGCGCCGCCGTGGGGGCCTCTGGGGTGGCAGGAGCATCTGGACAGAGCCAGCCTCGCAGCCTTTGACATTTATGTCCCTGTGCTGTAGGACAGAGGGTCTGCCTATCATCATTGACAGATGTAGCCTTGGCCTCTGGCAACCGTTTTCTGTTTCGAGTGTTCAGTTTGGGGTAGAACTGCAGTTTAGTAGGTGCTGTCAGAAGAAAAGAGACAGAGTGTCGTGTGGAAAATTGGAGATGAACCGATAACTCCAGGGTCGGAGGAGCTGACTCATCCACTCCCACCGTCTCGTGGTGGAGGACAGTCTCCCTTCCTGTTCTCTTTTGGGCCACCGACTGGGCTCAGAAGACAGTCTGTATCGTTTCTGGAAGTCTCAGTGTTTTCCCTCACCCATCAAACACGGGGATGAAGTTTTTCCTCCATAACAGCTGTTAGCCTTGGGTCTGCATTGAATAAAGTAGATGGTTTGGGGCAAGACCCTTCACTTCAGAGCCTCGCTTTATGCATATGAAGGCGGGAGTAGCAGTGCCCCCGTCGCCTCGCCAGTCTGCCAGGGGAGCAGCAGGACTAATGAGAAGGCAGTGTGCTCCAAGTGAGAAGGGGGGACTTGCTGCCACCTTTCAGCAGCCTCTCCGTCGCGCCAGGGGTTTCTGCTCAGGCACAGGCTCGCACAGGCTCCAGGCACACTGTCAAATGTTTCTGTTTTGCTCTAGAACTGTCAGAAAAGGGTCCTGGCTTCCAGATCCTGGTTCTTCTTCTCCTGCACTGCTGCAGACTGTCCCCCTTCTCTGTGGGCTGGTGATACTTTGGGTTCTAGCATCATAGCCATGTGCTCAGCCCCCAGCAGCGACTTCAAACTTCTTGCCCTTGCAGCTCCCAACACAACGCTAACTTTTCTCAGCCAATGACTTGGCTCTTCACTGCTCAGAGACAAGAGGCAGAGACGCAGGAAGGAGCTCTGATTCCCTCCTCGGGACCTGTCCACACTCTACCCATCTTTAACTCCTTGCATCCTGGCACAAAGTCTCCTTGCCATCAGCGGCCCATGTCCCCACTTAGGATGTCATTACCTTGCAGCTTCCTGGGGAACCTCCCATCATCACTTGTCCCTTCTCACTTTACTCTTCCCTTGCTCCCTGCCTTTTCTCAGAACACAGGGGGACTTGCCATGGAATTTGTGTCTGTAGGAACATGTTGGGCATTTGGATTCCCAACAGGGGCAGGGGGAAAACACTCTGGGTGAGGATAAAAATGGGGTGGAGGTGGCCCTTGGTGAAGGCTCCAAAGATAGGTTTTGAAGACTATATAGAAGTTGCAAGGTGTTGCTGAGGATTGTGAGAGTTCTCTGATAGTCCAAACTGTCACCCTTCCCCCTCAGGTTCTGTCTTTTCTCTTTCCGTTCCTCTCCTCGACTTCTGCTCTCACACCCTCATCTTGAAGAATTCCAAGAGTCCTGGGCAGCCTGGCCAGTGTGGCTCAGTGGTTGAGCGCCGGCCCATGCACCAAGAGGTCGCTGGTTCGATTCCTGATCAGGGCACATGCCCAGGTTGTGGGCCAAATCCCCAGTGGAGGGTGTGCAGGAGGCGGGCAGTTGATGTTCTCACTCATCAATGTTTCTATCTCTCTCTCCCTCTCTCTCTAAAATCAATAAAGAAAAAAAAAAAATTTAAAGCCCCAAGCAAAATCCTAGTCCCTTTAGGGAAACAATGAAAATTTCAGACCCTGTAAAATTCCTGACAGTTGGGTAATGGAAAAGTCACTATACTTTCGTTTTACAAATAATAGGACCCATTGTTGCTCCACAGAGCTGGTGATCCCCCAGATGTGGCCTGATGAATTCTAGTAGTAGATACAGCAACGTGTCTTTGGGCTTGTCCCTCGGAGGGCCAGCTCCCCGCACTCCCCAAGGGGAGTAGAACCCCACCCGGGCCAACCAGCTTCTCTCACCAGGAACTCGAATTAGACGGAAAGCTTGTGGTTGGACCCAGGCCACCCTGAAAACAGCCTCCTGGAGAGATTTCTCTTGAGTTCTTGCCTCGGGGGACCCTGGTGTTTCCAGTTTTCAAGAACCTTCTGAGATTTGCCTGTCAGCTTTCCCTTCAACTCGGGAGGTACTCAACATCTTCCCCTTAACCTCCATCTCTGTTTTAGTCGGCAAAGATCCCTGTTGCTTACAAGAGAATAGTAACTGATAAACATGTAACTCTTTAAACTCTCCCTCTGCAGATCTTCAAAAGCCACTGACCTGTTGCCATGACCTTCTTGCACCTTTGTCTTGCTCCAGGCATCAGATCCTGAAAGTGCTTATCTTCAAAGTCTGCAAGAAATACTACCACTTTACGCACTTTGCAGGTGAGGGACTGAGGCTTTGAAAGATGTAGGCATCTAGCCAAGGCTATAGCTGAAACCAGGAATCTTGGTTACTCCGTGTCAGTGAAACTTAGAGTAGCCCAGGTAAAGGAGGCCAATGAAAGGAAAGTGGGAGGGGCTCCGGCCAAGGTAGCGCTTTCCTCCTCCTTTCTCCCAAACCTCACAGTTAACCCTCTCTGCTTCTCTCCATTTTCCTGTCGCTCTCTGCTCACTCGTCAGAGAGCATGTTGCTGAAAAAGGCTACAAACCTAACTCTAATTATTAGGTTATTCACATCAAGCATTTACCATCAACTGTAGTTTCTGTGTCTCTTAGTTTGAAATATTGAGAAAAAAAATCTGTTTGGTGCCTGGACAGCTGGGGTAGGTTGAAAAATGTTCTCCCTCCCGAAAAGATATTTATCTCGTAATCCCTGGAACCTGTGAATGTTATCTTATATGGGAACAATGTCTTTGCGGAATAAGTTAAGGGTTTTAAAATGGGGAGATTATCCTGGATTATCCAGGTGGGCCCTAACAGCAGTCATAGGCGTTGGTATCAGAGTGAGGCGAAGGGAGGCTGGGCACAGCCGAAGAAGGTGACATGAAGATGGAGGCAGAGATTGGTGATACGGTCACGAGCCAGGGAGTGCTTGCAGCCACCAGAAGCTGGAAGTGAGAGGAGCAGATTCTTCCCTACAGCCTCTGACGGGAGCACAGCTCTGCTGACGCTTTGGTTTCAGCCCCGTGATACCGATTTCAGATCAATGGCATCGAGAACTGTGAGAATAAATTCCTGTAGTTTTAAGCCACCAATTGTGTTGTAATTTGTTACAGTGGCTAATGGGGAACTAATACAGCAGCCAATGGATTCATTCTTCCTGCGTTAGGTGTCCACTCCTTCTCCAATCAGTTCTGTCCTGGGGATGTTACTAGGAAAACAGCCACTGAGGCCTATCCTCTCATCAGTGGCTTTGGGGAAGTAGGTGATTGATTCTTAGAGAAAGGGCATGGCTGGGGGACACAGAGCATACACCCCACTACCCTGACACCTGTTTTCACTTAGGTGCAAGAGGAAGTGTTGGGAAGCAGTCATGCCTGAATGCAGCACCAATCCTGGGCCCTCTCCTTCCCCACCCACAGGGAATGAATTAATAAACAGCTCTTACTGGACAGTGGGAGAAAGGAGGTAAAATTAGAAGGTGAGTCCACCTACCCTGGCCGGTTTGGCTCAGCGGCTGGAGCGTCAGCCCATGGACCAGAGTCTCAGGTTTGATTCTGGTCAAGGGCATGCACCTCAGTTGCGGTTCAATTCCCGGCCCTTGTTGGGGTTGTGTGGGAGGCAACCAATTGGTGTGTCACTCTCACATCGATGTTTCTCTCTCTATCTATCTGAAAATCAATGGAGAAATAACCCTGGGATGAGAATTTTAAAAAAAGATGATGAGTCTACTTGTCCCACTAATTCAAACAAGTGTTTACTTAACACACTTCTTTAGCCAGACCTGGGATAAGTTCTTAACACAGGCACGAACCGGTAGTCCAGGGGAGAATAAGTCCTGTACATTGGACTGCAGGAATGAAAATAACAGGATCATTTAATCATTCATCTAGTCATTTATTTGACAGACGTTTGCTGTGGACATAGGTGTGCCAGGCTAGGTGATGTTATAATCAAATAGAGTCATTGTCTTCATGGAGTGAGAAAAATAAATACAGATAAATGAGAAAAATAATCACACATTGAGAAAAGGGCCAGTGCGAAGGAAAGGAGTAATGTTCCGAGAGACAGAATAAAGTATATGAGTTGATGGGAGATGATGGATGGCACTGGTAGCAATCAGGGTTTGGACGCAGGAGTTAAATTTGGGGGTCTGTGGGGTCTGTGAGAAGTTGAATAGACATTTGGATAGACACCTGGGGCTGGGAGAAAAGTTTTGGATAGGAAATTTGTTATGTAGAACCATGGGGACGAAAGGAAGGCCCAGAAAAATAGCTCAGAGGGCTCTACGCCTAGAAAAGGACACGAACACCGTGGGAGCAAGCAGTTTACAGAAACGATCTATAAAAAGCCCAGAAGCTGGGTGGCTTCGGTTCCCTCCTCCAGACTACATTTCCCAGAATGCCGTGGGAACCGCGCGAGACCGCGAATCGCTCCCAGCAGCCTCCGGCGCACGCGGCTCCGGACAATTATGGCGTCCCTCAGAGCGTCTCTGTCGCCGTGGAGCCTCCTAAGAGGTTCTCCATGCACGGAACGGGTCTGTTTCTGGGCCCGAGCTCGGTCCCGGCCCGGCGTCCTGCACCGGCCGCTGCCTGGGCCATGCGGGGCGGGAACGCCGTGCCGTCGGCTCGGTTCCGAGGCCGGTAAGTGACCTGCCCGAGGTCCGCTGGGGGGTTCCAGGAGACTTAAGTTAGCTTCTGGCTGACAAGACCCTCGCGGAGCCCCGCCGCGCCCCCTTCCACCCTGCCGGCACTCTCTGTAACTGCAGGGTCTGTCTGCTCCCGCGTTATTCCTTCGTTGACCCATTTAACAGCAGTTCGAGGTCTGCTCTTTGCAAAGCACCGTGCTAGGTTAGGGGTTACTGCAAACTAACACTGAAACGGGATTTTCTCCGAAGAAACTCGTGGCTCGGTGGGGAAGTGGCCGTGCGCTGTGACCCGGGCTGTGTTAGGGGTACGCACTTAAGAGTGGAACTCAAACTAGGCTGGAAAGGCAGGGGAGGGGGTTCCTGGAACATTTTTGGTTTCTGGAATGGTTGTGACCAAAGCTGAGACTTGGTTAACCAAGCGAGGGAGAAAATAAGCATTCTGAGAAGAGGAAATAGCATAAGCAAAAGTCCAGAAATAGTTTGGGAACCCATTTTGGAGGTAGGATTGATGAGAAGGGTTGGTTATGACTTTGTATCTAGGTTTAAAAGAAGAAATCAGTGTTGCTTCTCAGTTTGTAGCTTGAGCAGTTGAGTGGAGAGTGGTCCTACTTGTACCAAGACAGAAGATTCATTGTAGGAGCAGTTTTTAAAGGGGGAGGTAGAGGAGGAGAGGGAAGAAAGGGCAGTAGATGAGGTGAGGAGATGGGAAAAGAGGCAGAATTCAATGTCTGTTTTGGATACATTATGTGGAGGTGTACAGAATGCACACTTGGACACTGAGTGGTAACTGAAGCTGGGGGAATGGGTCAGATTGTCTGAGAAGAGAGTAATGCTGAGCACCTATTGTGTACTGGCTATTTTAAGGGACCCTGGGTGCCAGAGATGAGGACAAGAAAGAGTCCTGATCTTGGGAAATCACGTCATCTAGTGGAGGACAGTAAAATAAGCAGACCACCTTAGCTTTTTTTCTAAATGATATTGGGAACCACTGGTGAGTTTTAAGCATGGGAGTGACCTTTATTACATCTTTAAGCATTGATTTTTTTTCAGTTTCATTAAGATATAGTTGACAGCATGTAAGTTTAAAGTGTACAGCGTAATGGTTTGACTTACATATGTCATGAAATTATTACCACGATAAGTTTAGTTAACATTCATCTCACATAGATAAAAAAAAGAAAAACCGTTTTTTAGGAAATGTTCTCTTAACAACTTTCATATATACCATAGAGCAATGTGAACTGTAGTCATCATGTTGTACATTATTGCATTCCCAGTATTTAATCTTGTAACTGGAAGTTTGTACCTTTGACCACCTATATCTAATCCCTCCCTCCACCCCATCTCCCACTTCTGGTAATCATAAATCTGTTCTTTTTTTATATGAGTTTGGGTTTTTTTATTTTTTAGATTCCATATACAAATGAGATCATACAATTGCCCCTCATTTATCGCGGTTAATCCCTTCCAGACTCTAGCAGTTGCACCTGGCATTGAAGGATTCCTGGCGTGCTGGAATACATAGGCCTATAGTCCATATGTATAGTAATTTTCATTTAAATTGTAATACAGGGGTGTATAATTGACTCAAACAGCCAAGCACATGCTGTATCATTTTTACTGTCTCGATCAACTTTTTAATGAACATATTTGAAAAAAACGCGATAGAGTGAAGCCACGAAAGTCGAAGCATGAATTGGTAAGGGATGACTGCACATTATTTGTTTTTCTGTGTCTGACTTGTTTCACTTAATATAATACCTTCAAGATCCATCCATGGTGTCGTGAATAGCAGGATGTTCTTTTTTGTGGCTGAATATTCCATTCTGTGTGTGTATTTTTAGCTCCCTTGTCTTGGGTTTATTTCTTGGCTCACAGCTGTATTCCATTGGTCTGTGTGTCTGTATGCTAGTAACATACTGTTTTGATTACTATAGCTTTATAATATACCTTGAAATTAGAAAGTGTGATGCCTCCTACTTTGTTCTTTCTCAAGATTGCCTTGGCTGTTCAGGGTCTTTTGAGGTTCCATATACATTTTAGGATTTTTTTTTCTATTTCTGTAACAAATGCAGTTAGTCTTGATAGGAATTGCATTGAATCTATAGATGGTTTTGGGTAGTATGGACATTTTAACAATATTATTTCTTCCAATCCTTGAACATGGGATACCTTTTTATTTATTTGTATCTTCTTCTATTTCCTCAGTGTCTTTTTTCAGCATAGAGATCTTTCACCTCCTTGCTTTTTTTTTTATCCTCACCCAAGGACATTTTTGCATTTATCTTCAGATAAAGCGGGAGGGGGGGGGGGGGGAGAGAGAGAGAGAAACATCAATGTAAGAGAGACACATCAACTGGCTGCCACCCACACTACCCCAACCGGGGCAAGGGACAAACTGCAACCAAGGTACATGCCCTTAGCGGGAAGTGAACCCCGGACTCTAGATGATGGGCCGATGCTATAACCACTGATCCAAATTGGCCAGGGCTCACCTCCTTACTTTTTTATTGTTTTTGATGCTGTTATAAATGGGATCATTTTTCAAATTTCTTTTTCAGAAAATTTGTTGTTAGTGTATAGAAATGCTACTGATTTAAAAAAAAATTTTTTTTTAAGTCCTCACCCAAGGATATTTTTCCATTTATCTACAGCTAGAGTGGGAGGGAGGAAGGCGGGGGGAGGAGAGGGAGAAGGGGCCGGGGGAGAGAGAAACAAACGTCGATGAGAGAGAGACACATCGATTGGTTTCCTCCCACACGGCCCTGGACCCTGACCAGGACCTGGATGAACCACAACCGAGCTACATGCCCTTGGCTGAATTGAACCAGCGACTCTGATCCGTGGACCGACGCTCTAACCTCTGAGCCAAACTGGCCAGGGCTACTGATTTTTTAATGTTAATTGGTATTCTGCAACTTTTTTTTAAATTTTATTTTTGTTACGGATGTTTCTCCTTTTTTACCCTATTGACACCCTCCTCCCCACCCCACCCCAACCCCGTCCCCGGCTTTGTTGTCCATGTCCATTGGTTATGCGTACATGCATATAACTTCTGTGGTTTATCTCTTCCCACCCCCCACCACACCCTCTTCTGAGGGTTGTCAGTCTGTACCCTACTTCCGTGTTTCTGGGTCTACCCTATGCCTCAGACTATTCTATTCGTTATATTCCATATATAAGTGAGATCATGTGGTATTTGTCTTTTTCTGCTTGGCTTGTTTCACTTAGGATAATACTTTCCAGGTCCCTCCATGTTGTCTCAAAGGATAAGAGGTCTTTGTTTCTTACATCTGCTTAGTACTTCATTGTGTATATGTGCCACAGCGTTTTTATCCATTCGTCTACTGATGGACACTTGGGCTGTTTCCAGATCTTAGCTATTGTAAATAGTGCTGCTATGAACATGGGGGTACATATATTCTTTCTGATTGGTGTTTCAGGCTTCTTAGGGTATATTCCTAGAAGTGGGATCACTGGGTCAAATGGAAGTTCAATTTTTAATTTTTTGAGGTAACACCGTATTGTTTTCCATAGTGGCTGCACCAGTCTGCATTCCCACCAGCAGTGCACTAGAGTTCCCTTTTCTCCACACCCTCGCCAACACTTGTTGTTTGATGATTTGTTGATGGCGGCCATTCTGACAGGTGTGAGGTGATACCTCATAGTTGTTTTAATTTGCATCTCTCTGATGATTAGTGATGTTGAACATTTCTTCATAGGTCTCTTGGCCATTTGTATGTCCTGTTCGGAGAGGTGTCTATTCAGCTCCTCTGCCCATTTTTTAATTGGGTTATTTGTCTTTCTTTTGTTGAGTTGTATGAGTACTCTACATATTGGAAATTAACCCCTTATCTGATGTATCATTGGCAGTGATGTTCTCCCATACAGTGGGTTGCCTTTCCATTTTGATGGTTGTTTCTTTTGTTGTGCAAAGCTTTTTAGTTTGATGTAGTCCCATGTGTTCATTTTTTCCTTTGTTTCTGTTGCCTTAGGTGATGTATCAGTGAAAATTCTGCTGCATATAATATCCAAAATTTTGTTGCCTACATTTTCTTCTAGAATTTTTATGGATTCACGGGTCACATTTAAGTCTTTTATCCATTTTGAGATTATTTTTGTGAATGGTGTAAGTTGATGGTCTAGTTTCATTTGTTTGCATGTAGCTGTCCAATTTTCCCAACACCATTTATTAAAGAGGCTGTCTTGACTCCACTGTATGCTCTTGCCACCTTTGTCAAATATTAATTGAGCATATTGCCTTGGGTCCATTTCTGGGTTCTCTATTCTGTTCCACTGGTCTATATGCCTGTTCTTGTGCCAGTACCAGGCTGTTTTGATTACAGTCACTTTGTAGTATAACCTGATATCTGGTATTGTGATCCCACCTACTTTGTCCTCCTTTTTTAAAATTACTGTGGCTATTCGGGGTCTTTTTTGGTTCCATATGAACTTTTGAAGTATTTGTTCTAGTTCTGTGAAATATGTCATTGGTATTTTGATGGGGATTGCATTGAATCTATAGATTGCTTTGGGTAATATGGACATTTTAATGATGTTAATTCTTCCAATCCATGAACAAGGTATGTGCTTCCACTTTTTTATATCTTCCTCTATTTCTTTTTTCAATGTCCTGTAGTTTTCTGCAAATAGGTCCTTTACTTCTTTGGTTAAGTTTATTCCTAGGTTAAGTTAATTTTTTTGCCACAATGGTAAATGGGATTGTTTTTTCAGTTTCTCTTTCTGTGAGTTCATCATTGGTGTATAAGAATGCCGCCGATTTCTTGACGTTAATTTTGTATCCTACTACTTTGCCAAATTCATTTATTAAGTCTAGTAGATTTTTGATGGAGTCTTTAGGGTTTTCTATGTATAAGATCATGTCATCTGCAAATAACGACAGTTTCACTCTCTCCTTTCCAATTTGGATCCCTTTTATTTTTTCTTCATGTCTTATTCCTGTGGCAAAGACTTCCAGTCCAATGTTAAATAAGA